GGCAACATCAGGCAATGCACCCTCTCCCAAGCCCTCAGAGCCAAAAGGCTGGGCATCATGGGGTTAAGCTAAACAGAGTTGCAAGGGAAACTGCATGCTACTAATCTGCTCTGACTCAAAACACAGCTGTACATTTTACATCTCCCTAAGCACCAAGCACAAGAGGCAGAAATTTTCAAGCACTGCTGTGGCAGACAACTGATTTTATTCTGAATACTCAAGTTCTTGCTTACCGACATTATATGAGGCTGTTCACCATCTTTGTCTGTCAAGTGGAGAAAATTCTTTTTTCCTGGTTCAAAACCAGCATCAAGAATAGATTTGTCACTGTTTTGTTCTAATGGAGTCTGTAAAAAGAAAACAAAGTGGTTGTTTCCCCATACAAGCACATTTATACCTAACCAATAACATTCAAAAGAATTTTTCTAGTATCTTCTTTTATAGCAAAAATGAAGGTATAATTTTGCTCCATATAAAATAAGTAGCTTTTAATACTGGTAACATTTGGAAAATTAAAGATTTAAGAAAAACAACAGACAAAAATCAAATCCTATTAAATATTTTAATAATATTTGCAAACTGTCAGTACTCAGCACCCAAACCTCTGCTCTAGAAGTTTGATTTTAGAAACCAATTGGTAAATTGAGCTGACCACAAAGGCAGTTAACAAGAGTTTTAGCATGCAGAAACATCTGAAAAATGGGTCTCAACAGCTATCTTGTTTTTGTTGTTTTTTTAAAGAAAAGTGAGTAAACTGATTTACCTCAATTTCAATGCCTATTTTTGTCTAAAGCATTCAGATAGTTTCTATGCAATCAGTGACACAGCTAAAACTAACACTGAGGGATCTGATACAATAAAAAACACATCTGATATGTATTTTAAATTATAATTCTTTTGTATCATAAACAGGTAACAAGAGTCAGAGCATCTCATTGCAAAGCAAGTTGCTCCTAATATTCTGCACTACAGAAATGTTTCTGAAAATTAATCTTTTAAACAACTGAATATTCATTCTAGAACCTGTGTGGGCACTATAAAATTGAGGAAAGGCTCTTAATGGAAATATTTGAGGGGTTTTTAATTCCAAAATAGATACTGATGATAGGAGCTGGCAGGAGATTTAACTGAACGGCCATATTAAGAATTCATTAAGTGATTCAACAAGTGAATCTTCTTGAAGATACTTTGAAAACAGCCTAAATAAAAAAGCAAAAATTCAGGATTCAAGTCAAGTAATGTCATTAACTATATGGACACAAAAGAAAAATTCAAAAACATTCTGCTTTGCAAATAACAACCTGATAAACAAAACAAAGTTTCAGCATCTAAAAATTAAAGAAAATGGGCAATTTTTTTGCCATTACCATATCAGCAACATTGACTCCATTTCCCCAAACTAAATCAAAAGTTCCATTAACATAGCCCACTTTAGAGGCCACGTCCTCAAACAGCCTTCTCAGTGGAGTGGAAGCTGGCAGGTTTAAAGTAACACGTTCATTTACTGTCTTAGAATTTGTGGTATCTTGTATTATACAGAGCACTCTGGGTTCATCAGCAGCACTTTCTATCTGAAAAGAAAGCAGGCAAAAATTCAAGTGGTTAGGTCAAAAACAACTGTTTTCAGAATCTACCCAATGGAAAAGTGCATAAAACCAGTATAATACAATTTTAAATATAACTTTGTGTCTAAAAACGTTGTCTTCGAAGCATGGAAAGCTAACTCCATGTTAAATTCAGCGGCACTGAATTGTGGAGGTCCTTTTGAACTTCCAATCGTCATGACAGCTCTATTAACTGCAGAGTGCCTCTCTGGTTCCCCAGAACCTCCTAGCAAGTCTTTTTTTTTAAATTTATAAATGTAAATATGGTATTTATGTAGAATTGTTTCCTAAAAAAAAATTTAAATAATTGATAACACCACTGATACTGTAATATCCCTGAGAAATGGGAAAAAAAACGTTTTGTACAAATTACAAGACATGCTACAATAAGGTGTGAGTTTAGATAGTCTCAGGTATATTTACCACGAATAAGTGTCTATAATGCATTAGAGAAAAGTTGTGCATCTTTAATATTAACATGAAAGAACAAAACTGCACCTCTACCATTACTAACACCCTCTGCAACGGTCTTTTAGGTAATATATATGCACACGGTAAGTGGTAAATGGCTACAGATCACATAAATGACTTCATAAATTCTGCTATATGCCTGTCTTTTAACAATTAAACTGCTTTTGGTGATCTATACACCAGAGCCCAATCCAGCTGACATAGAATGAAAAGTGGTTAGAATTTGAGTACAAAGAGAAACAAAATACGTGAAAGTTTCATTCAGAAGTTTCAGCTATGATGCAGCCAAGAACTATTGCAAAGCAGAACTCAAAATTCCATACTTTCTCACTTAAACGTGCCCAAGAATATTATAGGCCCCTTGTTTTTCAAAGACAGAATGAACACATTTTTCCAAAGTTATGACTGCACAGAGGAAAGATTGAGCCTAATCTTCACCTGATTCACCCTCCCTCTCACTGAACTCAAGCTGAAACCCAAGCTGCTACTGAAGACCAGTCTCCATGGGGTGGTTCTGTGATTCTGAAAATGGCTAGTCTCTATGGCTGTAGCATCAGAGAGAGACCAGGAGCAGCCAGCAGCCAGTAAAACTGCAGTAAGAAAGGTTAGGTTGACTGGTGGAATATCAAGACCATTAAAAAGGACAGACAGTGGTTAACACTGCTGGAGTGAAGAACAGTGATCTATTAAGTCAACTGACTCCCTTAGCTGCCTGAACAGTAATGCAACAACTTCTGCATTGGGGAGGAAAGGGGCTGGGGGGGGATATAATGGTAGGAGTCTACTACAGACCTCCTAAC